CTGAGCACCGCGGACCGAGAAGGGGGGAGGGTCTGGGAGCCCACCTTGCTCGCCAGCTCTTTGCTCCGGTCGATCCGCGCGCGGGTGAGCGATTCAATCCGAGACATAATCCGATGTCGGGGAGCCCGGGAGGACGCCGCCAGCACCCAGGCGCCCAGGAATCGTGGGAGGGGGGAAGGGTGGGGGAGGGGTCCGCCCCGCACGCGTTGGTCTTGGGGACAGGAAGTCTGACTCCCCTCGCCCGGCACCCTGAGCCAGTTCCTCAAACCCGAGTCTCCACCCCCCGCCCGAGGGCGGGTACGAGCGCGCGGGACGGGGCGCACCGGGAAGCGGAGGGGCAGCTTGGGGAAGTGCAGGGCTTCTGGGACGGGTTGGGGCCCCCCGAGGTCGGCTGCCCCTTCCTTCAGTCCCTGGGAGCACCTTCCAGACCCCAGCACCTGTATCTTAACTCTCGGTTTAGTTTGTTTTGTTTAAACCTGCCCCTGCCCATCCCGCAGGCTTTGCCCGACACAGGTCTCTCCACCCCCCATACAATCTTTAAAGACCCGCCGGCGGGGCGAGGGAGGATTCCATGCAGCCGCAGCTCCCCAGGGAACCGGGCACAGTTCCTGCCAGGCCTTCGGGGCTCCTCAAAGCAGGCCAGGGCAGACCCCTTTTACGCCCGGGGGTGGGGACAGGGAGAGGAAATTGCAGGGGGCACTAAAGGCTGGGTCTGCACCGAGAAAGGCCGACGGAGGATTGGCTCTCCTGGGTCCAAAGAGAGGAGTGTAGGGGGCGAGAGCATTCTCCTGCAAGCCCCTTCCCCTCCGGGGCCGCCCAGCCCATGCTCCGCCCGCCCCACTTCTAGCTCCGCCTCTGCCGCCGGCCACATCTGGAGATTCGACGCCTACGGAAGGGCAAACGCAGCCTAGGAAGTCCTTCCTTGTGTCCGACCCCATCCCGCCAATGGTCTACGGCTCCCTGCAAAAGACCAGAAGGCGGTCTGCACCAGTCAGGAAGCAGTTGGGGGCAGGGCTGCGCTTCCCACCAGAGGCCTGGGGTGTTGTGAATGTCCCTCGCCCTGGAACCTCTGGCCCAGCCTAAGCCAACTTCCAGTGAGTTTAGGACTATTGAGAAAACGTCTCCCCCAGCGCGGTTCTTTTTTGCCCCCCAGGGTCTCCCAGTTCTCTGGAGAAACCAGAAGCGCTGGGAGCCTGGGATCCAGCACCCAGCCGGATTCTGGAAGGGGTAGGGGAAGCTCCAGGCAGACCCAGCTCCCTGTCCCTCTCCGCAGCAAGGCCAAGCTGCGGGTTTCAAACCCAACTCGGCACCCCGGCCGGTGCCAATTTTAGCCTCTGACACTATTTTGGGCTCCACTGCCTCACCGCTGGCTGTTGGTTCCTCACCCGGAGCACCACCCCCACGCTGCTCTCCGGCTTTCCCCTCCTGCCTAGCAACTCCTTCTTCACCTCCTTCACCCAGTCCCCAGCTCAGGAGCCTTATATAGCAAAGGCCAGGAAAAAGGAGAGGGAGTATGAACCAGGCCTACAGCAGGTCCGATGGAAATTCAAAGGCGGAATTTCAAATGAACTTTCCCCAGGGCCCTGAGGAAAGCTAGTTTCGCCTGGTTGGCACCTGCAGGGAAATCCTATGGGCAGATTCCAGGAACAAGTACCCCGAGTTCGTAGTTCCCAGACCTCAGCCACCGAACCCTATCTCCCAAGTGGGAGCCGGGGCTGACACTAATGTTAAAAACAGCCCTAGGACGGAACCGCGGCCTTAGGGCTCCGCCCACTGAAGCTCACAGGAGTGGAGGGACTGGGCTGGGACCTCAGCATTCCTCCAGGGCGCCAGGGTCCAGGGCGGTCTCCCCTCTAGCAAGCTAAAGATGGGATTTTAAAGGGCCAGACTCCAACCTCGACACCTAATCTACCTGAGGCCTGAACCCCAGGGTTTCTTCCTGAGTCTTCCCAGTCCCCAAATTCAACTGAGAAAATCTCTACGGAAGCAGAAGACCTGACCCGCCAGCACTCAGCTATCATGTCACCCCAACCTGCAGCCTCCTTTCCATTCTGTGGGCTCTTGGTTACACAGCCGCTGGACCTCAGCCTGCTTCTTCCTCTTAGGAGGGGAATAATAGGGAAAAGGATTGAGGGCAGGGTATGTAAACACACTGTTCTGCCTTTAAAATAACTTGGCTTTTAGATTCAATTTCCATTTTCTGGATCTTCTAACACAATGAGCCCTTCTTTCTCCTTGACACCCCCTGCCTTGTTCCAAACCCCTTCTCCCCAACCTTCTATTCCTAGCAACGGGTACCTCCAATACCTTTTTAGACACACACACACACACACACACACACACACACACACACACACAGCCAGTCTGAATTTCTGCCAGCATCCAAAAATAGTTGTCACCTCTCTCAGCCCATTTAACTTGACAAGTGTGTCCCTCACCTTGTAGAGACCTTGGGAGAGGGGAGGAGTCTCGGAAAAGAACCTGGTTGTCTGAGTCTTGGTCAATAGGGAGCAGATGGAGCCGGAGGAGAAATGTGGGCCCCAAGCCCCACACTGCACAAGAGGTTGTTTGTTTTTCTCTCTATTACTCTGGATGTTGTGTATTCACAACGAAGGGGGGTAGTTCAGATGTACTTGTCCCTAAGGACCATCCGGCAGAGAAGATAGTAGAAGGGAGCCCAAAGCCATTGCCACCCACTAGCCTTGGACTCATAGCAACCCCTCGAGGACTTGCTATGCGAGAACTGCCCCCAAAGGCTCCCAAGACAGTCAGCCACATCTTTCTCCAGCAAGTCAGCTGGCAGGTTTGAACTGGCAATCTTTCAGTTGGCAACCGAATGCCCAACAGACCACCAGAGCTCTTCTGGGAGGGAAGAAAGTGAGTAAACCATTGGGCTAGGCTCACTGAGAAAAGGAGAGGCAACATTATATAATCAAAGCTCTGGGCCCGCACTATAGCTCCACTTCCTAGGGACTGTGAGCTCTTGGGCAAATACAGCCTCTAAGTTTTCTTGCCTGTAGCATGGAGATGAAAACCTTTATCTTTGCCAGAGTCGTTATAAGAATTAAGTGAGATGACCTCTGGGAGCGTGTCCTGTCAACTGTACAATGCTGGTCAAGTGGGAAGGAATCAGCGTTTCCTCCTCTCTCTGCTTCACTGAGCTGCTCTGCAGCCCCACCTCCGTTTTCCTGCTTCACAGCCCTGAGCCCTGAGCCCTGACCCTGAGTGATCGAGCGAGCCAGCAAAGTCTGAGAAGAGGGAGATAGGAGGTGAACCAGAAACAGGGA